GGGGTACATTGTATTATAGATGGGGGTGTAGTGTATTATAGTTGGGGGTACATTGTATTATAGATGGGGGTGTAGTGTATTATAGTTGGGGGTACATTGTATTATAGATGGGGGTGTAGTGTATTATAGTTGGGGGTACATTGTATTATAGTTGGGGGTACATTGTATTATAGATGGGGTGTAGTGTATTATAGTTGGGGGTACATTGTATTATAGATGGGGTGTAGTGTATTATAGGGGTACATTGTATTATAGATGGGGTGTAGTGTATTATAGTTGGGGGTACATTGTATTATAGATGGGGGTGTAGTGTATTATAGGGGTACATTGTATTATAGATGGGGGTGTAGTGTATTATAGTTGGGGGTACATTGTATTATAGATGGGGGTGTAGTGTATTATAGGGGTACATTGTATTATAGATGGGGTCAGTGCTGGTAGATGGGGCCATGGCTGTGTACTGGGTGTCAGTATATATTACAGCTGTATACTATGTACCATTATATCTATGATAATCTATATACTGCCTGTGGTCAGTCAGTGTCAGTATACTCTGCGCCATTATGTATATTATCCGGGGGATTCACAGTGGAGCTGTGACCTGTCAGTGCATGGAGTGTGTAATACATGGGGTGTGTAGTCAGTGTGTGGTTGTATATGAAGCCAGGACCGGGTTATACCGCCTCTGGTCACTTAGACTCTATGAGGGGAATTTACCAAATCTGGAGCAGCTTTACATGGCGACCAATCAGCTTTTCTCTTTAATATTCAAATCTTAACTGAACAAACTGAAGAGAGAAGCTGGTTGCCGTGGGCGACTGCTCCAGATTCTGTCTGCTCCGGTTTGGTACGATTCTCCTCTCAGTGACCCGATGTGGTCCATTTATACATTGTATCCAACAAGATTCACACATTCTAATTGCATTCATTGTGAACCTTTTAGAGTGTAAGCCCTCAGGGGCCGGGCCCTCCTCACCATCTTGTCTTGTATTGTGATTGTAATATCTTCCTTATATTGTACAGCGCTGCGCACACTGTTGGCGCTATATAAATCCCGTATAATAATAATCCTAGGCCATAGCTGTGTGTATCCTGTGTGAAAACATTGATGTATGTTATCAGCCTGAGGTGCGGGGCGTGCTGTGATCGGTCAGTGTAGTATAGGATGAGCTGTGTCAGTATGAGACATATCAGTGGGACATAATGATTCAGCTGAGATCTGCCAGTGTATGGAGGAGCCATCAGAGAGATCAGTGTGCACCGTGTACACTCACCTACCGTCTGTCTGGGGTACAATGTATATATAATGTGTACAAGTGAAACTCGAATAATTAGAATATCGTGCAAAAGTAATGGCAGTAAGTGCTGCAAAAGGGGCCCAAACCAAGTACTGAGTACATATGCATGCTTGTACTTTTCAGAGGTCCGATATTGTTCTATGTACAATCCGTGTTTTATTGATTGCATGTAATAATCTACTTTTTTGAGGTTGTGGATTTGGGGTTCTTGGGGGTTTCATGAGCTGTGCGCCATAATCATCACAATTATGACAAATCACGGCTTGAATTATCTCGCTTTGCATGTAATGAGTCTCTCTCATATATTAGTTTCACCGCATAAGTTGCATTAGTGAAATAAATGAACTTTGCACCATATTCTAATTATTCCAGTTTCACCTGTATGTCAGTCTGTATTGTCAGTGCATACTGTCCCCAGTGATCTGTCAGTGTATGGGGTCCGGCCTGTATAGTGGATGTAGATGGTACAACGGTCACTTAGTGTCAGTCCAGAACACAGCACTATGATACATGTCTGTCTCTCTGCCTCTCCCCCTCTCTCTCTGCCTGTGTCTCTCTCTCTCTCTCTCTGCCTCTCTCTCTCTCTCTGCCTCTACCCCTCTCTCTGCCTCTCCCCCTCTCTCTCTGCCTCTCTCTGTCTCTCTCTCTCTGCCTGTGTCTCTCTCTCTCTCTGCCTGTGTGTCTCTCTCTCTCTCT